CCATCTATGAACATCATCAATACAACCTTCTAAGTTGCGAACTGTCTCTGCGGCAGCCTCCGGACTAAAAGATGTGTACAATTGCGTGTCGTCGGCATAAATGTGATATTTAATACCGTGTTTCTGAATGATGTCACCAAGAGGACGTACGTAAATAAGGAACAAAATAGGCCCCAAAGTAGAACCTTGAGGAACACCAAAATTCACTGGGACTGGAACTGAAATGGCTGATTCCACTCTAACAGACTGTTGCCTAGATTTTATGTAAGAGTTGAACCATGTTAATACTGTACCAGAAATCCCTAAAGCTGAAAGTCGATCAATGAGGATACTGTGATCGATGGTATCAAACGCGGCGGACAAATCGAGGTAAGTTACATAGTTATACCCGTTGGAAAATGAGCGGTTCTAATTGTCCCACAGTACTTGCATGCACGTGGTCTCTTATCTGTCTCTGATCGTAGAATCAGCGGCTGTCTACATTTCTGAATTGGCGGCGTACAAAGAATCAGACTATGTGACTGACCTTATGTCTGCTTCTCCCAATTACAGTGTATCGTGAGAACATACTTGCAGGAACATTTCTTACTGAATTCACAGTTACTAGGCAACTTGCAGTACTGGTAATTTGGTGCCTATTTCAAACAGTTTATTTCCGTTCATGACAAATTAAAAGAATCAATACAAACGGAGGTGGATTGATGTTATGTAAAAAATAAAACATTGAAGTTTAATCAGGGAATTAATCAGGGAACACTGTTCCCCGGTTTAATTCATATTTCGATGGTCTTTTCATTTGTTATACTTATATCAGTCTGATAATATTATAACAAAGAAAACAATTTCTATGACTTTGTAATGTTTTTAAGACAACAAAATTCATTCTGATTCTGTACAACTATCACTTATCATTCAAATGAAATCTCCCTACTGTGTAATATTTATTAGAATCAAAATTAATTTGATTCCACTTCGTTCACCGTCAATAGGCCTATCTAATAAGGTTACTTTATTATTTAAACAAAAATTGCTGAAAACATAAAGCATAATTATTGCTCAAACATTTATTCATTATTAAAAAATACAAATTGCC